GCTAAAATTTGAGATATTATTTCATGTGGAAATTTTATCTCTTATTCAAGCACATTTCATTTCCAAAAAGAATTAAAATTTTCCCTATATGTATATAAGTAAATTTCCATATAAAATGGAACTAGAACGGAATGAAACGGTACGGGAATTTGTCAACCTTCAAAGTAATGGTATGGCTTGGTCTACAATTTTCAATGCTTTTTGTCTCCCAATTATCTGACCATTACAGCTGTCGACACTACTACACATTTATGTTCATTTATATACACGTACGTACGTACAACTTATTAATACAGTAGTTTTTGATTTTTTTTCCCATAACGCAAATGTTGTGTATTCGGTCTCGAAAGAACAAATAAGACACGAAAATAATAAGAGAAAAGTGATTAAAACGATTATTTTTTGTCTAGGTTTTATTGGTTGTGTGAATAATTCTTTACAAATCTTTGTGACTTTTCTATGTAAGCCTTAACTCCAATACAATCGGAAATGGTAAAAACAGAGACATAACTTTCACGGCTGAGTTTTAAAAGTATTCCATAAGAGAACAAGAAAATGGTAAAAACATACATTCTCTCCGTAATGATAGAATCAATCTCTCCAAAATGGACGAAGATTGTGGAATCGATTTTTCCATATCGGAAGAATCAGAGAGATAAACGGGTAATAAGGAGTGTGTTTTGGCCATCGAAACATACATTTAGAAGTCTAGCCGGTCGGTTTTAGAATATTGCAATTTTTCTAATATTGATGATTTAAATCTAAACTCGAGAACAGCAACAATTATTTTGTGCGATTTTGTCATGTGACTAGAATTAAACTGTTGAGCTCAAGAGTCCTAGAAAAAAAATAAAATTAAAATAATATGCTCCTTTGAATTTAAATTAATTCGATAATTACTTAAATAAAGGGCTTAAAGTAGTTGAAAAAGTACATAAGTCCAAAGTAGAAAGGTACATAATTCGATAATTACAACTCTACAAATAGACCACAAAATCAGAGACTCAAGCACTTCAAACCTGCTTTAG